TTGGGGTACCCCATGTTGGTGTACCCCTAGCATTGGCCTAATAATATATCTTTTTTGTCATACACAATTACAAAGGATGTTCCGTTAGCGTCGTTTGTGAATTACAATCACTTTTTACGACAGCTATAGTCTACAAATGTGATCTTTTGTCAGAATCCTAGCTCACAATTATAGTCATTATTTTTGTGTTATCCGCTTAACCAATATCAGAACACGTTAGTAGACATAATGTTGATGTCAAATTATACTTTTAGCCTTTAAATTAACACTAACACGGTAGAAGATCAAAAAAAGGACTATTTGTGGAAAGGTACCCTTAAAAAAGGACTATGTGGGTAATATTTGATAATAGAAGACTAAATATGGAAACCCCCTGTTATAAAGGACCAATTATGAAGTTTACTCTATTTAATTTCATTGGGTATATTGTTTGCTTGAGCATGACGATAAATGGAGTGCCCATGATTCCCATTAGGCCGCTACCTAATATGATGAAATCTTGACCTGTGAATTGCTATGAATTAAACTATTGGTGAGGGATTGTGGATTATGATTATGCGCTAAGATAAATAACCTATTGAGTTAGGTTGGTCTTGACCGAATTATTTTTATAGTCACCAATAAGATTGTTAGGATTCAAGCCTAGGGATTAATTTTATAGTCACCAATAAGATTGTTAAGATTGTTAGGATTCAAGCCATGTGAGGCGTGAGTGCATTCTCAGTGGCCTAGGGATAAAAAGGTACGCATGGGAGTGAGACTTGATTGTGAGGATTTTAGTGATGAACTTATAAATGGAATAATATCTAAATTGCCTTACGTTTTTCGATTCGCATTTGATGGGAAATAATACGTGGCTCGGCCCACATTTCCCAATTATTTACGAAGAACAGTCAAATCGGGCCTGTTTAATAAAATGAAGGAATAAGAGAATATTCCTTTGAAGATGCTCCCCCTCCCTCCTATAAAAGAGAAGTATCCCACCAAGAGAAGGAGGCCATTTTTCCTCTCTCATCCTCCTGCCCATTTACTCTCTCTCTCTAGAAGGCTTTAGTGTGTATATTTTCTTCTTCTTCAAGAGATCAAATGCTCCATTAATGGCTTCTACGCCTAAATCATGTACTATGTACACACCCCCGATATTAATAAAAATCCCCCGTTGGCAAGGTACCGCCAAAAAAGGCCCGTGGTTTTCTCTCGATTTGGGTTTCAACGTAAAAATCCTCGTGTTTATATTTTGGTGTATTTTTAGACTAGTTTATCGTTTTTAGCCGGGCTAAAAACGATATACCGGTCGATAATTTACACCATCATTTTGACGCCACCCATGGGACCGTTGAGGTTCCCTCTCTTCTAAACACAAACCTACCCACAAAAACACCACTCAAAATGTCTTCAAGCCAGCAAATCAACGCTACCTCTGCTCAAGTGCAAGCCACCACTGAGGGTACCAGCATACCCATGGCTGCTACCCTGTCGGCCGTTTCTGCTCCCGTTTTACTTTTTGGGTCTGGGCTCGGTCCCAACACCGAGCATGGTCAGCCCCTGTCCCTTCCGCTGGACCAAGGGTCACCTTCCCACCAAGCATGACTCAGTTCAGGAACGATCCGACCAACCTGCAGGCCATCCAGGGCTTTGGCCAAGTCATGGCCATGTGTCAACAAAATGGGGGGATGCCTTTTCTCCCTGGTATGTTCCCGTTTGCCCTTCCAGGCGCGGGAACGATGCCCCTTCAAACTCCGATCGCAGTGACACCGTTTCAGACGCCGGTGCCGCAGCCCTCACCTTTCCAGCCGCAGCTGGTCAGCACCATGGCACCGGTCAACTTGACTGGTGCGCTTAATGCTGTAGGACCGTCCCGTCCCCCGCAAGGTATGAATCCACAAATCACTCCCGATGGTCACTGCGTCTCAGTGGAAAACGGAGACGACGAGTGGGACATTCCAAGGGCCCACAAGAAAAAGAAGGGAAAAACTATCCGCAAAGCAACTTCCCGAAACTCCGCCTTCAAAAGGCTGGGGGAAAGGGAAGAAGGCCAGAGAAAGTCGGCCCAGCTGAGGTTGGGGCAAAGTGTTGCCTATGTCAGCGCGTTTGCCCGCTGGGCGAGGGGAGGGAGGCCGAGCCTGCCCGTACCCAGATCTCTCGGTCTAACCGGCAGGAGCCTACAAGGACGAGGGCCTCCCGTCATGAAGAGGAAGCAGAGAGTCAACCTAGGGTACCGGTGGCTAACCGGTTGACTGTCCCGAATGACCGCGTCCAACAGATGGAAGCAAAACTGGAGAGGCTGGAGAAGAAGGTTGGAGAGAAGAATGACCGGGAAAAACCCCTCGCGGGGTCCCCGTTCACTACAAGGGTCCATCTGACACCTTTCCCGCGAAAGGTCAAGATAGACGCCCCAAGATTCACCGGTAAGGAAGATCCAGAAATACATCTGGATTCTTTCAATCAAAGTGGAACCATGAATGGTTGTACAGACGAAGAAAAGTGCCTCCTTTTCTTCCAGACTTTGCGAAATCGAGATACTGAATGGTTCAACAAGCTTTGCCCAGGAAGCATCGACTCATTCAGTGACTTGGCCTCGAAATTCAAGGCCAAGTTCCATGAGAACTGTACTAAGAGGAAGAAATTCACCTATCTTAGTACAGCCGGGCAGAGGGAATCTGAGAACCTCACTCAATTCCTTACCCGGTGGAAGGAGGAGGTAGACAAGGTTGAGGAGATGGACGACAAGACAGTGTTGTCCCTTCTCCTGAATGGCTTGCGTGCTGGGGAACTATACAAGGAGTTCTGTCGGAAACCCCCGGCCACGTATCAAGAGGCCTACCACACTGCCTGGGAGTTTGCTGAGGCTGAAACTCAACATCAGGCGAAGAAGGAAGCTGAGCATGGCTACAAGCCCAAGCCGGTGCAAGTCAAGAAGGAAGAAGCGCCGGGATCCAGCCGGCGAAGGCACCACTATGACCCGGTCGTCCGCGTGGTCAGCACAGAAGAGTGCCAAGAGGTAAGAAAAGCACCGGTCATTCCTCCGGAAAATCCTACCGGTCAAACAGGACGGCAGTGGTCGGGCACCTATTGTTCGTACCACAGGTCAGATTCCCATAACACTTCCGAGTGTAAAAGTGTTAAGGGAGTAATCCGGCAGATGATAGACAGTGGAGAACTGGGCAAAGATTATTTGCAGAAAGCCCAGGAGAAGAACCACCAATGGGTAAGGCCAGCAACCCAGGGAAATGAACGGGACAATGACCGGCGGAGGAATAACCGGCAGAGGGAGTAGCAGCCGGACCCTGATAAGGAACATATTGGGATGATCTTCAGCGGACCTGAAGGCGGAGATTCAGCCGCGCAGCGGAAAAATTGGGTTTGCAGCATTTACGTCGGTGAAGTAAGTGCTGAACCGGCCAGGCGTAAGCATACCAGGAGGGAGCCAATAGTTTTCACTGACCGAGATCTCCCTCCTACCGGTGAAGATCACAATGATCCATTGGTCATCACCATGGACATCAATGGGGTGGACGTCGCCCGGGTACTTGTTGACACCGGCAGCAGTGTCAACATCCTTTACCTGGAGACCTTCCAGAAACTCAGGTTGTGTCGGACACAACTTGAACCCCTCAAAACCCCTCTCTCAGGATTCACGGGAGACACGGTGGAAGCTGAAGGGTCCATAGTTCTACCGGTCGAACTAGGATCAGGCGAGAAGACCGTATGGAAGAAGATGCGGTTCATCGTTGTGGACATTAAATGCATCCACAATGCAATCCTTGGAAGTCCTGGCATCAACAAGGTCGGGGCGGTGATTTCCATGTCGCACCTGTGCATGAAGTTCCATACTCCAGGCGGTGTAGGTGGAGTGAAGGGCGACCAGAGGAACGCCCGGGAGTGCTTTGCCCGGGCAGTCAAGAAGATGACCAAGGGGGTCAACGTCATCTCCTAGGAAATCACCAAGGGAGAGACCCGGGAGAAATTGGAGCCTGAAGCAGAAACAGTGGAGATCGAACTTCACCCGGGTGATTCATCAAGGATGGTCAGAATTGGAGCGAACCTCCCAGAAGATCTCAAGGAAGAGATTACATGGGTCCTCCAAGAGTATGCGGGCATATTTGCATGGAGCGTGGCAGATATGCCCGGAATTGACCGCTCAATCATCTGCCACCGGCTGGCAGTGAGAGATGGAAGTCAACCGGTACGCCAGAAGAAGAGGTACCTGGCCAGTGATCGGCGAGACTTCGTCAAGAAGGAGGTGAAGGACCTCCTTAGTGTTGGTCACATTCGGGAATTCAAATACCCGGATTGGCTGGCCAACGTGGTTCTTGCTCCCAAGGGGGAAACATGTAGAATGTGTGTGGATTACACGGACTTGAACAAGGCGTGTCCGATGGATTCATACCCCCTTCCCAGTCCAGATCAAATGGTGGACGAAACTGCAGGGTGCGAACTCCTAAGTTTCATGGATGCCTTCAAGGGCTACCACCAAATTCACATGGCCAAGGAAGATGAAGAAAAAACATCATTCCTTACCCCCAAAGGAACCTACTGCTACCGGGTAATGGCGTTTGGCTTGAAGAATTCGGGGGCAACCTAACAGCGCATGGTGAACACACTCTTCAAGCCGCTGCTGGGAAAGACCATGGAGGCATACATCGACGACATGCTGATCAAAAGCCAGGATTCTTTCAACAACCCGGCTGATATGCGTGCCACATTTGAAATCATGGCAAGATACAACCTCCGGTTGAATCCTAAGAAATGCGTCTTCGCGGTTCGTACCGGGAAGTTCTTGGGATTCATGGTGACCAAGAGAGGAATAGAGCCAACCCAGAGAAGACTCGGGCTATCACCGAGATGCAAGCCCCTACCTCCGTTAGGGACGTCCAAAAGTTGACCGGTCGCCTAGCGGCCCTCAGCCGGTTCCTTTCCCGGTCGGCTGAGAGATCCCTGCCCTTCTTCAACGTCCTGAAGAAGGCCAACACATTCACATGGGATGAAGAGTGCTAGAGGGCATTCGAGGAGCGGAAAGAATGCCTAGTGTCGGATATTGTATTGTCCAAACCCGAGCCGGGTTAAACTCTGTATCTATACGTGGGAGTTTCCCCAAATGCTGTAAGCTCTATTTTAATAAGAAATGATGGGGCACAAAAGCCAATTTATTATGTGAGCAAAGCACTTAACGAGGTTGAAAGTAGATATACAGCGATGGAGAAAACAGGCTACGCGCTTTTTATCTCCTCAAAGAAGTTAACATCCTACTTCCAAGCTCACCCGGTGGAAGTCTCGACTGACCAACCACTAGGCGCAGTATTGCGGAACTCAATGTCCTCTGGGAGGATGGTGAAATGGGCAATGATGTTGACTCAATTCAACATTGAGTACCGGCCAAGATCAGCAATCAAGGGACAGGCCCTTGCAGATTTCCTGGTAGAAATGACCGGTATAACTCCTGACCTACCGGTCAACAAGCCCACCGAGCAATGGTGGGAGATGGCAGTTGATGGGGCGTCTGGTCCTAGAGGATACGGGGGTGATATCGTGTTTACCACCCCAGAAGGGTTCAAGATCTACCATGCAATAGTCTTCAACTTCAAGCTGACGAACAATGAATCAGAGTATGAGGCTCTAGCTGGAGGGCTCAGACTTGCCCAAGCCTTTAAAATCAGCCGGGTTAGTATCAAATCTGACTCGAGTTTGATTGTGGGGCAAGTGACCGGCAATATGGAGGCTAGGGAAGGACGAATGGCTCAATACAAGGATGTAGTGCTTGCCTTGTTGAAGGGGTTCGAGGAATTCAAAATCGCCCAAATTCCCCGGGCAGAGAACGCGGATGCAGACCTTCTATCCAAGTTAACGCAGTATGCTCCTGAGCATGTTTCAAAACTTGCCTGGGTAGAAATCCTGGACCGTTCCAGCATCGAGAAATTGGAAGTTGTCGGCATAACAGCAACAGCCCAATCTGACCGGTCAAACTTGGTCAGGGCGGACGACCACTGGATGTACGATCTGATGGAATACTTGATGGACGGGACCTTGCCGGAGCAAGAATACCGGGCAAGAAAAGTGAAGCTCAGGGCATCCCGGTTCCAAGTCCTTGATGGAAAGCTGTACAAGAGGGCGTTCGGGGGACCCCTCCTGAGGTGCCTAACCAACTGGGAGGCTGAGCGAGTCATAACGGAAGTCCATGAAGGTGTATGCGCGGCACACCAAATGTCGCGAACCCTCTCACAACGAATCATCTTGCTGGGGTATTACTGGCCGACAATTGTCTAGGACTGTGAGAGGTATGTTCAGAAATGTAGAACATGCCAAGTGTTTTACAAGTATCCCGGCAGACCGGCGACCTACTATCACCAAGTATCCCGGCGGCACACCAAATGTCGCGAACCCTCTCACAGCGAATCATCTTGCTGGGGTATTACTGGCCGACGATTGTCCAGGACTGTGAGAGGTATGTTCAGAAATGTAGAACATGCCAAGTGTTTTACAAGTATCCCAGCAGACCGGCGACCTACTATCACCCCGTATCGAATGTCATCCCGTCCGCTAGATTCGGGGTGGATATCATTGGAGCATTCCCAATTGCCCAAGGAAGGAAGAAATTTGTAATCGTAGCCATCGATTACTTCACCAAATGGATCGAAGCCGAAGCGTTGGCCAACATTAGCACGCAACAATGCAAAAAGTTCATTTGGAAGAACATCATCACGAGGTTTGGAGCTCTCATTAACCTAATCACCAACAATGGCCCTTAATTCCGAAATCCAAGATTCACCGAGTACTTAGAGGGCTTCGGGATCAAGCACAATCGCTCTTCGGTGGCGTACCCCCAAGGAAATGGCCAGGTGGAAAATGCCAACAAGACTATTGTGGATGGTCTGAAGAAACGGCTGGGAGAAGCAGTAAACAAGTGGCTGGAAGAGCTCCTGCATATCATCTGGGCGTTCCGAGTGACACCCAGGAGGGCTCACGGGGAAACTCCATTCTCCCTAACCTATGGGTGTGAAGCAAGGCTGCCCATCGAAGCTGAATTCCCAACATTCTGGGAATCAAATTATCAACCCTAGTAGAACGAGGAAGATCACTTGGCCGAACTCAACTTGGTCGAAGAGTGGAGAATGGCCGTGGAAGTTAAAATGAGTACGTACCAACAAGTGGTGAAGAAGTACCACGACAACAAGGTTGGACCGCGTTACTTCCAAGTTGGCGATGAAGTCTTGCGAAGAAGAGAGGCTAGTAGACCCGGAGACGGAGAAAAGCTTGCTAAAAACTGGGAAGGACCTTACCGGGTGAAAGCGATCATTCGCCTAGGGACCTACCGGTTAGAAACTTTGGATGGTATACCGGTAGAGAGAACTTGGAATTCCCATCACCTTCGCAAGTTTTACAAATGATTGTAATCCTAGGCAAGGCCTACTTCAATTAAATAAAGAAAGTTCAGTGCTCACTACTTGCTAGCAGCAGAGTTGATAGGTCGAACCTATCTTAGGAGGGCTTCCAGGGTGGATCGAATCCACTTGGATAAGCCAACTGAGACACAAGCACGGACCTGGTACGCTGGCTACTACACCGGTCTTGCTCAGTATAATAGAAAAAATAATAAAACCCGGAAGAGGGGCCCGGAAGAGGGTATGCCTGCAAGAGGGCTGGACCTGGAAGAGGGTTCGAACCGTACTTACACGGGCCCATGAGGTTTGACCGGTGTCGGGAAATCAGCCGGCGCCGTCAAATTGATTAAGGACTAAAAGATGCCCATTAAAAGATATAGAAAGGGATCGTCCACCGTGGCACATCCTATATCCCCCTTCTCAGGGAAGACTTGAACGGGGGTGAGCTAAGGCCTCCCTGGGATAGTACAAATCAAAGGGCCATTAAAAGACTTAATCACCCGAAAGAGGGGGCCCTGGAAGAGGGGTGCATTTGAACCTTGGAGAGGGTTCGAAACCATTCGACATGGTTAAATCTCCAGTATTCTTACCGGTTAAGGATACTTCAAGAAATTACTAGGTTACAGGTGCTTCCATCTACAACCTACCGGTCAGCAAAAAAAAGAGGAATACCCCGGTTGGGTATTGATGCAACAGAGCTTCGGAAGTTCTTCAAGGCAAAGCAGTTGACCGGGCAAACCATGGAGTGGGAACGTACCGGTCAAACTGTACTTTATCGAACGAAGGCATTCAAAAAACAAAATGGAGTGAAGCCGATCAAAATGTTTTCGGCTGTTGGCCACCAAGATGCAGTTCTACCGGTCAAGATTTTTCGAATTGATCTTAGAGATGGATTGATCAAAGAGAAAGTTGAAGTTCTATCGGTTGACAAACAGAGTCATATACCGGTCGAAAATCCTATGGAAGCAAAAGTAAAATATCTGTCAAGGAACAAGCAGATATGGCAGATTAACAGGTGAGAAAATAAAACATGGCATTTAAAAGAGAAGATGTCAAATGTTTACAAGTAAACCGGGCATACCCAGGGAAATTTCAAGTTTGGAGTTTTACAAAAATAACCGGACGCAGCCGGGGAGATTTCATTCCAAGGGGAAGGGAGGTACGGGCTTTTCATCCGGGATGGGGGCCAGGACCCTACGAATGACTCCGCGTTGAACTCGGGATCTCGTTCAGCCAAGATGGCATGGGTGGCCTCCCGGTCTCTCTTCTGGCTTGACATGAAGCCGTAGGAGCCGACCTGAGTAATCATTTCCTTTCCATGCTCCTCCCGGTACAACAACCTGAAGCCCTCCATCGTCCTCTCTAAAGAAGAGGTGAGCGCCCGGGCAGCTTCCATGAGGTTTTCCTCCATCCATTGACAGGCCTTGCCGGGAAACTCCCTTTCCTTTAGCTCCGCGTCCTCCATCAGCTTGAGGTTTTCCTCCTTCACCCGGAGGATCTCACCATCCGCTTCCCCGGCCATCCTGGCGAGATTGGCCACTTCATCGAGCTGGCGCCCGGTCAGCTCTTGAAGCTCCCGGTTGTGAGCCTCAACCCTCCTCAGCTTCTGTTGGGGACTTGTCGTGTGGTCTAAAACAAATTAAAAATTTATAAAATATCCTTAACTAACCCCCAAAATATAATCAAATAAAAACTATAGCTAGTGCAAGTAAGGGTCGATCCCACGGAGAAAGTTTGTACTTTTGAAAACCAATAGCATGCAAACACGTTGTCACTAAATAAAAATAAAACTAACTACTACACGTATGATAAAACTTATAAAACCTATAATAAAACTTATAACTAAAAACATATAAATATAACTTATATAAACAAAGAACTTATAATATAACTTATAAACAACACAAAGGGGGGGGGGGTTGGATGAAAAGTAAGTATTTTTTGGTTTTTTATATTTTTCTTATTTTTTTGGTTTTTTTTGATAAAAATGGGGAAACAAGCTCAAAAGATAATCAACTTCTCCAACTAAGGTAACCCAAGAAACACCGCCAAAAACCCAAAACAAAATTAAAAAGAGAACGAACACAAAACGAACATTACACGTATAATAGGCACGTAGACAATATATTACGTAACTTACGCACTTAAAAATAGAAAAGAATTCAAAGGCTCGAGTTGATTCATATCCTTGACCACATATAGAGGATCGTCAACTCTCTATAAGGCCCGGAGTCAAAGATTCAAAGGCCTTTTGGTTACTTTGAACCCCCACTCACCTCAAGCGCTCAAATAATGATTCCAAAAGATGAAAAAGTTTATAAAAGAGCGAATCTTTCTTTCATTCTAACTCCCAAGCACAAAGTATTCATGAAGAACATTTGATACACTTTAATAAACTTTAACGTCTAATGATGAAAATATTTTGCAGGTCTCCTTGAACTACTCAAGCATAAGAATTGTAATCTATTCACATAAAAGAACATTACATATTTTCAAAAACTTAAAAATTGTTTTTGTGCTTAAACAACCTTAAATTTTATGAAAATCAACACAAAACAAACGAACAACATAACAATCACTTCATAACGAATCTTAAGAAAAATGTCCAACTTATGTGGCTAAGAAGTCCAAAATCCTTAAAATTTTACAAAACACATAGCACAACGAAGAATCACGTATGAATTCGGAAATCATTTAACTATAATATGGAGCTAAAATAGCTTCAATGAGAACCAAATTCTACATACCAACCTACTTATGAAATCAAACCGTGCGATTCAACCAATTCATCAACAATTTGCACAATAATTGAAGAAAACTAGTACGAATCAATTTTTATTCATAAGGGATTTAATATAAACATTAAAAAATCCATAAAAGAACACAAACCATTTTGTTATAAAATTTTTGGAACAAACTAACAAACAAAAAAAATATAAAATTAAATTAAAAACAACAGTTTTACATAGAATTGGAGGAAAAAAATAAAATTTGACAAATAAGGGTTACCAATTGTTGAAGAAGATGAAGTAATTGAAGAAATTGGAGCCATGACCGGAGTTGGAGTTCGCCGCCCATCGCCGACCGGAGCTGCAGCCGCTACCGTCGCCGCCGCTGGTTGTCGCCTCCTCCACCGCCCATCGCCATCGGAGCTGCGTAGATAGCAGCGGCTAGAGCCGCTGCTTTATTCTCAGTGATCCCCCCATTTCCTTGTTGAGCGATGGCGCAATTTATAGCCGAAAGATTTTTCCCGTTGGAGTGTAAATGAGGAGCAAATTTCAAGGAGAGACGTTGGAGCGTGAGATGGTCGCTGTGGTGAAGAAGAAGTCGCCGGTTCTATTCTCTTTTTTTTCCTTTGTGCGTAAATATGAAAAGGACAAGCCTGGTGGACTTCTTTATTTGATGATGGGTTTGGGCTCCAACCCAAAATCTTTCTCTTTCCAAACTTGAATTGCATTTTGGGCTTTTGCTGCACTTTCTCTACAAATAAGATATTTGATAATTTGAATTAGGAAAAATAAAATAAAATGAAGACAATAATAAAATGTTAAAAAAAAATGATTAAAAAGCTACTATTTATGATAGAAAAATAAAAGATTGTAAAAATGAGAATTAAAGTAAAACTATGCAAAACAACTAAAAATTAAACACTAAAAATATTAAAAATGCCTAAAATTGAATAAAAAGTACAAAACAAACCCGAGTTATCAGCTTCTCCTCCAACTGAGCCGACCGGGAAGGGGAGTCTTCCGAGAGCTGCTCCAGGGTTTCCGGCCCAGCCTCGCCCAATTGCAAATCGAAGGTTAGACCGGTTAGCCAAAACAAGCAAGCGGTATGTTAAAAAGGACACCGGGAGAATGTTACCTCTCTCAGCTTGAGGGTCATCTTGACCCATAGCTCTTCCATTGATTCGTTGACCGGGGAATGCTCCCCTCTTCTCTTCTTGGAGGATGGGTGGGTGGTGGCTGCATGCTTCACCCTCTTCTTTCCTTTTCCCTTGTTGGGGGAAGGGTTCACCGCTGCATTCCCTGATTGGTCTATTCCCTCGGTCTGAGGGTCTTCCTCCTCGTCATGGATCACAACCGTCTCCGGTTGCACCGGCTTGTTTTTTGCGGTAGCAGAGGAAGAGCTACCGGTTTTCTTCGGCATGTTGAACGCCCTGAAATTCATGTCTGTAAAACAGGCAAAAAAATACTTGTAAGTACTCAAGCAAGAACCGGTACGATGAAGTGGAGGAGAACAAATGAAAGTTACCTGGGTGGCCTGGGCCCCCAGCCTCAGCAGTGTTGCTCGGGGTGGGTACCCCGTGCCCCGCTGCGTCATGGGCCCGAGGGGTACCCTTACCACCCAGTTGGATCCTCCAGATCCATGCCCCATAGTGGAACATCTGCCTGGTGAAGGGGTCCCCCTGAAGAAGCTTCCCCAAACTCTCCTCCAAGTCAGGAGCTGTAGCCGGCTCAGTATTTTCCGGCTTCAAGATGTGGTCATTCCATCGTATACCGGCCAAAGGAGAATCAGTGGGGAATCTTATGAAAACAAATTTCTCCTTCCACTGCCGGTTGCTTTGTGGAAGGTCGGAGATAAATTGGCGACCATTGCGGCCTCTAAAGTAGACGTAACCGTCACAACCCGATTTACCGGGAAGGACTTCAAACAAGAAGAGAAACAGACGAAGGGAGGGGTCGATCTTAAGCTCAACGCAGATATTCATAAAGGCATTGAGGAACCGGTGGGCATTGGGCGTAATTTGCCCGGGAAGAATCTTAAAATATTGACACAACTCTACCTGGAGGGGACGAAGGGGGAAGACGATGCCACTCTCCAGAGAGGCGATGTGGAAACCTATCCTATCATCCTAGTGGGGCTCGATGATGTTAGGCCAGGTAGGGTCATACTCAAGGACATAACCCTCCGGGAGATTCTGACGGGCTTTGTTTTGGGCTATCTTGGAAATCCGGGGGAAGATCTCGGAGGGATAGCTAGAAGGGAGGGGAGAGTAACCGGCTACTTCCAACCTCTCCACCCACTGGTCCCGGGTCTCATTATCTGGGTCATAGGGGGCCGGTTCGTCGCTAACCAGCTCCTCCCTCTCCGCAAAAACTTCACCGGGCATCTGGTTTACAGGCTGCGGCTCAGGGATATTGGGGTTTGGAATCGACCGGGGTCTAGGAACGGGTGAAGATGACCCGGTCGACGAAGAAGAGGACGGGGATTCCTCGGATGCGCGGGCATCCGAGGTAGAAATATCTTGACTATCATAAGAAGACATGGACCAGAGGGAAAAGCGAAGAATAGAAGAAAAAAACTAAGGAAGAAAGAAGGAAGCTTACTTGACTCGGAGGGCTGGAAGGCAAGAGAGAGGATGCTGACCGGTGAAACTCGGGAGACACGCGAGAAGAAGTGAAGGAATGAATGAGGTTGGAGGCCTTTATATAGGCGAGGGAGGATTGAATCAAGCGACGTGGCACGAGCAGAGCACGCCGCGTAAGGTGGCGCAATAATTCTGCATGGGAATACGGACGGACGCAATGATGGCTTTCTCCAACGGTTAACGTGTGTCAGCATTGACACTTTGAATTTTGAAATTCAAAAATTTTAGGCGAGAAATACAAAAATTCGAATTTAAAAGATCTGTTTCATATTTTTTACTTCCCGCTTATGACAAAATTGCATAATTGAGAAGTGGAGGGCTTATTGATGGGTGTATTTCACCCATGACCGGTCAATAGGTGGAACCAGATAGTTGACCGGTCAAAGAGGTCAAACCTGAAAGAAAGATTTGAATCGTCAGCAGAGGGATGATTGGTTGACCAAAAAGTTGACCGGTATACTTCAGATAGTGTACCAGTCAAACTATGCCGGCATCTAAATTCATCCTTTGAAGTTAGCAAATCCAACCCACGAAGACCAACCAGTGAAGTTTTTCAAGATTGGTGAGTGTCGGCAGGAAGAGTCCAAAGAGACTTGGACTGTAGTGGTTGGCGTTGCAGAGATGCTGAAAGCATTTTTCGAACTCAGAACGCGACAAAGGGAATAATCCCTCTCACAAGGCGATAGGGCAGCTCGAGGACGAAACCAGTCACCTCGCACCACATCAGCAGCGTGCCCCCACGTGGGCGCACGTGGTCCTGTCCCCCCAACTTAGTATAAATACCTCTTGTAACCCTCGAAGAAGGGGATCCGAATTCATTCTCTCTAAACTCCCTTGTAAAAGTGACCGTGTAGTCTCTGTTATAATCTAATTCGGGCTACTAGTGTTCCACCTAAAGTCCTATCGGTCATTCTGAGTGTTTTTACTTTCTTTACTTTACTGAATCAAGCCAACTATTCTAGACCCGGTCTAGTATAGTTTGACTGGTCAAGTAATTTACACCATCAGCATTGATATGTTTCTATTCTATGAATTGTAGCTAGTGTTAGAAATATTCTCACAACCTTCAGCTAAGCGTGTAGTCTTTGTTGTCTTTGACTGCACGCAGAGGGTAGTGAGATGGAAGGGAATATTTAAGGTGCAGATTTGCTAGAGATTTATGGATTGTTTTGCTTTAATGACATGATATGACTTAATAAAATTTCACAGTATTTTGGAATAACTCTGGTAAATAAATTAATTTATTTTTAGAATAGTTGATTCTTATCTAAGTGTTTTAAAATTTATTATGTTTGGATACCATATTAGTAGCAATCGATTCGCTAATACATTGGTTCGCGTTACGTGGATCAGGGTGTTACATTTTGGTACCAGAGCATGTATTTTTAAAATCGGCCTTCAGACCATTAAAAAAACAAAAAAATGTTTGTAAAGAGGGTATCAAGTAGGGGTGGACACGGTACCAGTACGGTACTGATAGGCGTGTCGTAGCACCTAAAAAATTAATTTAATATTTTCCTTTACTCAACTCCTTCTTGTAAAAATAATATGTAATAAACATGTAGATAGGATAAATAAGGGTCGATCCCACGAGGAAAGATATTTTTCAGGTTATGAAAATTGATTTACTTTATCACTTTTATTGCATAAAAACAACTATCTAAAATCTATAAACTAAATTAAAAGATGGGGGGGTTTGAAAAGTGTTTTCTAAATAAAGTAAAAAAAAAGTAACTAAAGTGACACACCACACTAGAACAAATCTCAAAACAAACTAAGGATAGAAACAGAACATAACTCCACCAAGAAGCCCAAACAAAGAAGAAAAACACATAACACAATAATTTAGAGACTTAAAACAATTTTAGAAAACCAACAAAATGTTTTATAATATAGGAAATAAATATCTAGGATCAAAACCTTGTTAAAAACTATCATAATCATCAACCAACAATAAATTAAAATAAGGGTTAGGCCGAAGAAGAGGTCCACCAACGGTTCTTCCCTATTTTCGCATTCAAAAAAGTTCATGTTAAGACCAACCCTAACTCTAAACCCCACTACCCTTAGCAACCCAAAGACCAACCCTTAGATTACTACTAAGAATAGTGCATTAAGATTTGTGGAAAACATCACCGTAACAATCTTGCAATAACACGAAGGTTATTTAACAAAATCAGTTTGAGAACCTTGATTAGCAAAAATCACTTAACGAGGCAATCTAGTACTAATCAAGTAACACTTGGTTTCTAGAAAAGTTTGGCTATTTAAAGCACTTTGGATTTTAAAAGAATATCATTTTAAATTGGATTAGGTCGCGATCCTAATTTGACCCAACTTAAGTAAAATGAATTGAAAAATAGTTCTCAAACTTCTTTGAATTAATTTAAAAGTAGCAAAAGCTCGAACTATTTTCAGATTATAAAACTTGTAGTAAAAGTTTAAACCCATAGACAGATTCAATTTTAAGCAACAAGATTCAATACTTCTTCCAAAAATTCTGGTTTCATATGTTATTTTTTTTACGAAATCGGACCATAGATGACATAGAAACACAAAGAACACTCTCAAAGAATGCTTCTAAAACACAAACTTGTTCCGGAACTTGGACAGTATTGAAACCAATGAAAAATCAATAATGCTATCTATTGCCAGTATAAGATAGTAAACGCATAAACCCATATTTAATTATTGAAAACAAACTTTGGTTTTAAATAGCCATCACAGGTTTAGAACTAAGAAAAAATCAATTGGTAATATGTTCCATATAACTTAAGGAAACAAAACAACACAGATTTGGGAAGGGAACAAGGGGATTAAGAATTCAAAACAAATTCTAGTTTGACAAAACAGAAGAAAAAAAATAGAGAAAGGGAAGGGTTTCGGATGCAAGATCCGAACCCCCCTGGGGTTATTACCCTATGCGTTGAGCTCGAGTTCTTGCTCTCCATATGTGGTGGTGATGTTCTTCGCAGCACCTCCCTCGATTTATAGGTGGGAATTGCTTCTTCCGTCTAGGATTAGGATTCTTCGCTCCGGGATTTGCGCTGCACCGTTTCTTCTCTCGCCTCTCTTGATGGAGATGAAAAAGATAATGAGTAGGAGAAGGAGTTCTCCTTGTGTGAACAACAAATCAGATAGGGCGTAGCTTCTCTGGTTTCTTTCATGTGTGTAGGGGTGTGCATTATTCGGTCCGGACTCGGACCGACCCGAAACCCGGCCAAAACCGGACCGGACCGGTCCGGACCGGTCCTTATTCGGTCCGGTCTCTGGTCCTTATTTTTTCCTTATTCGGGTTCTGGTCTGGTCCGGTCCGGTCCACCGGGTTTCGGTCTGGACCGGTGGACCGGTTAGATTTTATTTTTTTTAAAAATATTTTTTTCTATATAAGTTTATAATATTGTATTTTTTAAGATTTTTTCTTATACTTAAAATTAGTTCAACTTTAATGCTAAATTTTTTTAAATGTTTTGATTTTATTATTTAATATAATTTTTTAAATACATTTCAATTCAAAATAAGATACCAATTGTAATGATTTTTAATTTTTTTAATATGAAAAGTGTGAAAAGTAAACATTACCTTTATATTAGCAATCATTTGCATTTTAAATTTATAGAAATCATCCTAAATAGCACTAAAACATAGATAAAAGTACCAAAATAGGACTTTCATGTCTTTTTTCCCGGAATAGGACTTTGCACTGTGGTAATGTGACCTTGCATTGTTGTAATGTGGCAGTGTACATGTGCAAATTACTATGCTTTTTGGTAATGTATATGACCACGGTTCGTAATGTAAGTCCTATTTAGGGAATTAAAACATGGAAGTCCTATTTTGGTATATTTTCAAAGTTTTAGTCCTACTTTGGTCTTTCTCCCTTAAATTTATGTACTAATACTATAACTTAAATTTGTATTTTATCAATAATAAAACTCTAATCCGCAGAACAAACATTGTAAACAATCTTATGAACAAAAATAGTAAAAAGTGTATCTCTTTGTCAAAAAAAAATCGAAAACTCAAAAAAATATTATAAAAAAAAAATGCACTAAGAAGAAGAATATTCCCTATGCAAAATAAAAATTATGAACAGATTTTATGTTATATGGATGGAAGATTTACGTAATATATTTTATTTAAATTTTTTAAAACAAATTCAAAACAATTGTGTTTGATAATGTTTAGTGTATGTTACAATTAAAAATTAGTTGTAGTAATATTTTTATTCAATTGAATACTTTAAATTAAAAAAATAAAATAAAATTAAAAAAAAAAATTAAAAGTAGCATTTATTCGGTCCGGTCCCGGTCCGGTCCGGGTTTTACCGGTCCGGTCCCGGGCCGGTCCTTAGCTTAATCGGTCCGGTCCTCGGTCCACCAAATGCCCCTTATTCGGTCCCGGTCCGGTCCCGGTCCGGTCCGGTCTGGTCCGGGTTTGACCCGATGAACACCCCTACATGTGTGCAGCGGAGGATTGGGCCTGGACTGTTTCTTTATCACCATATGTTGGGGTAGAGCCCAACGGAATCACTTTTACGTTTTCAGCCCGCATTTTATGCTCCAAAGATATATCTAATAACCTTTGTCAAGAAGAATATGGGCCCACAACAATAATATTCAAAAATAAACTAAAAAGTGTGCATTATAACATATTTTATAAACGATGCCTGGAATGCAAATATGATCATTTAAGTGTAAAAATGTACTTTTTAATGCCCGAAAATACTGATTTTAAAGAGAATAATTAGTGAATATTTTGGACTCAACAAATACCCCCACACTTAGAGTCTAGCACGCCCTCTTGCAAAGTAAATAAAACAAACATTCTGTTATGCTTTTACTTCTCAAAACTGAACTTGTTGCCGTTGCTGGAGGTGTATGACCTGTCAAAACTTAATATTGGCTCAACTTGACACAGAATCTTCCTTTAAAGTTCTAACAAGAATAGCCGAACCATTAACTTAGAGAAATTTATTCAAAGATTCAATTAGAAGACTTATTCAAGCAAGACTTGTTAAATCACTTAGATTGCTCCATGTTTAAAAACAATCCTTTTCCAAATCAGCAGCATAATCAAGAATTAATTCTAAATGATATTCAATGAAACTATTCTTTCAAGGTCTTAAAGAAAAGAAAAAGAAGTGTCTTTGAA